CATGGATTCTTCAAAGTGTAATACGCATTCCTCCCTCGCATCAGAGTAGAATAGATGCCCCTCACTAGCAGCAATTTCTCTCATATATCCCTACCCGGACCTGGGGAGCCAAGCCGTATCAACAATCAACAGCAGACCTAAGATCTCGGAGAAGAGGATCCCCGACAATAACTCTCCTTTGGCACATAGGCGCTATCAGCCATTCTCTTATGCCGGGTATGGGGGAGGAGGCATTTTTTCTGCCTGGAGCGAGCCAGGTCTGGGATCTTTCCCATAGCCTTCTTTCTGTGAACCTGAGCGAATTCTTTTCTCTATTGTACCTAAACCTTCAACGTTTCAAAAAGTAATCTTTCTGAGTGCGCTTGACCACCTTACTTTACTTGCGGTACACTTACTATATTCCGCAGAGGTTAGCAAGAGCTTATTTCACAGCAAGACTTAATGGAATTAGCCTCGTAGAACTGAACTACCTTGATCTAAATCTCTGGAACTCACAGAAGACCAAGGCACATCCACTCTAAATTCAGCATAAGCTTGGGATCTTTCTTTCCTCAAAGCTAAAGCCCTTGAAGCCAGGTCTTTCTTCTTTAAAGCCTGGAGCTGGTGTATTAATTTATTATATCGTAAGTAAGGAAGTTGAGATTGTCAGTTTCATTTCGTGAACCAGTTACCCTTTATCTTCTTCTTTCGTACCTTCTTCTTAGTCTACTTACTCTAGAACCAGGGGGAGACTCTGTGGCTTTATAGTCTTTGCATCCACTTGGCCACTCGAGTCTTGGCCACACTCTAATAAGTTCCCATCTCCTTTTTTAATTAAAAAGCTACTAGACTTGGCTTCTTTCCTGCACATAGTGTCTGATATTGAATCACATCTGCAACGCTTACTGATTCAATCACAGAAGAAAAGATCACAACTGATACGCATTCATTCAATTGCTAACATCACACCGTTTACTGATTAACGTCCGACTACAGCTCGTATGAGTTCTTATGGTTGGTTAGGAAGAGTCTCAACTTCAAGGTACTACATACTTGATTAGAGAAGGAATTTCTTACTTAATGCCATGCTTTACAGACATTCTGACCAAAGCCCCAGATTAGTAACATAGGATTTTTGCTTTTCCGTCCGAATCCCATTCTATGAGGGCCGCCTCACTAGCCTTCCTATAAGGCCTTTAGAGAGGATTCAAACTCTTCGTCCGTGACTCACTGGCATTTCTTCCAGAATGAAGAGAGAGTAGAGCTATTGAAGCAGCAAGCCTATTAGGCTCGGTACGCTATAAACATCCTGTTGCCATATCTTCAAACCTATTACCGTAGGTCGACTGTCAGTAACCCTCGCTCTTTTTCGTGAAGAGTCAGTATCTAATCCTTCTGCTCTGGAAGTTGATTGAGGACTTCTATTCACTTTGATAGATGGAGTTGGAAGGAGTGGTGTCCAGGATTAATCCCAGTACCACCACACCTCTCCTTGCCCGTGGTTGGTTTAGGCCACGAGCAAAGACCAAGAAGTCTTGACCAGTAAAGCCTCCAGAGACCCGGGTCCCACCTAAACTAAAACTTGAAGTCAGAGCTTTTGGTGGTTTGATCTCACCTTTATGATACTTCATATTGAGATCAAACAAAGGCCACAATATCCCAAACCTTATCAGCTCTTGATTTTAATCCTTTGCTTTCCAAGATGTTAGGACAATTGGGCCTTCAAACCATGATTCAATGGAGGTATCCGGAGAAGAGGACTGGACTGCGTACCAGGCAAAATACTTAAGCCAGGCACGGACGAGCTAGCTGGGCGAAGGGATTCCCGAGTCAAACGACTACCATACATAGCATAGAGCTGGAAGCTGCACTAGTGGACAGAGAAGACTGGACGTGAACACGAAACTGTACATGAATAAGAATCGCCCCACTTTCCCTCTTTGAAAGAGCATAGCCCTATAACCCCTAAAAAGAAAGAGGAAGAGAGTGTAATGCCATAAAATTTTAGATATCCTTTATAATTATGATGACTCTAAAGAAGCGCGAGCACTGGGCTTTTCGTGATAAAAAAACTATCCTAAACTCTCTTCTTCCGGGGATTCGGGTTAGTTGTTGACTTACAAAGAAAGGCAGATCGATTAAGATCTTCATCTTTATATGGCATTCTAACTCTAACGATTAACGATCATAATCCTTTTATCAGGGTGCTCTTCACATTCATTCATCAGCCTGCTTCAAAATCCCTTTGCGTGCACCTTTCTACTAGTCTCACTTGAAATGAAGTTCTTCCCATTCCCCTGGGGTAAATTCCTTGGAAAAGACGCTTGAGCAGCCAGCCTTCTTGCCCAGGTCTTGGGCTAGGCTAGGAGATTGGAAGCCTCAATTCAAGTCGAGCAGCAGCTTTTCTACACTCAAAGCGAACCCGACATCCCATTAACTGAGACTTCCTATGCATAACTGTAGCTTTTCGTCATACCCAAAGGCTACTTAGTGCCTCCACCAACTGGGAAGCTAGAGTATGAGTCAAAAAGCCCACATACACCTCCCTATATAGAGAATATAAGTCTTTAATATGGCTACAAGGGAGAGTGTGGTCAAGGGGCTGTGGGCGAGCTTGGCCTTCGTCGGGAACAGATTGTGCCCATGATTGGGAAAGCTGCTGAGTTCGCTAGATCAAAAAATGACATTAGAAAAGTAAAAAGTCTCATGAGTCGCTGTGGGCTTATTACGAATTCAATTGTTAACATGAATCGGCCATTGTCTTTTCGGGTTCCCCCACCCAGGTGGGAAATTACTTACTTAGACTATAGCGACCCTAATAAGACATACCCACTTATCCTTAAACGAAAAAGAGGAGCACACAACCTCTATGAAGAATTCCTGGCCTTGTTACAACAATACGCTTAAAATACCCGAGTAATGCTGAATTGGGGCAAAGACTAAACCAAACGAGCTCTTTGCGCCCTACGATTGCAACTGTTATGCTTGTTGGGTGGTCCTACTCTTTGAGGAGTATGGGTCGATTTCGCTTGTTTCAAAGTGCACTGACTAGACAAACTAAACGGCACTAAAGCTTTAACCTACCTCATCCACCGCCCTGACAAAATTAAGTAATTCCATATCAAGTTCGGATCCGTGGAACTACCAAGGAAGAATTGGGCTTTATTGCGCCAATAGCCATCCTCCACTATATACATCATTCAGAGATCGGGCATCGGTGCGCGCAAACATATCTTCTCGGACAGAGGGACCAGAAAGACTTCTACAGGCTTTCTTTTGCCCTTCTTTACCGCTTGGAACTAGATGTAATCGAACTTACACTTTATGAAGGCAACCCAAAGAATAGACTGGTAGGACCCTATTCGCGCGCCTATGGACCAATGTAACCCAACCAGTAACTAGTGCCCCCAATGGACCTCTCCTATGTAACTCCAACTGAAAAGGGGGACGGAATATAAATTTTATATTATGGGCTTGATTGATCATACTTGATGACTGATTGATGGATACCTTTGTTATATAGTTCCGATGAACCCCACGGATGTCGTCTATAGGGGCTACCGGAAGCTATTCTCCGATCGCGGTACCTATACCCACTATTCATGAACATAGTCGATGTTAAGGTTACTATAGATGGAAATGCTTCCACCTCAGCCCTTCTTTTTTTATTAGTAAAGCGCGTAGAAACCCTCTAACCTAGGTCTCCTGCACTCTTATTTAGTTTAGAATTGGGATAAGCCAAAACCTTCATTATTAGTAAGATAGGTTGCTTTCTTGTCTTGAGGAGTGAATTGCGTAGGCTGAGGGGCTACTAGCGGGATGATTTGGATAGAATAAGATCTTGGTAAGGTTGAGCAGGGGCTTGCCAGGTATTGACTGACCCCTGAAGTTGAGGTAAGGTTGTAGGTATTGCTGAGACTGACCTAGCGGAAAGGGATATTTTTCTGGTCTCACCTGAGAATGCTGTAGCGGCACTGGTTGAACCTGCTCTCGCACCTGAGGCTCTTTGAAGTTGTTGCGGTTGAAGCTGAGTCTGCTGGATTGATTGCTGCTGAAATTGTGAATTCGCCTCTAGACCTGTCTGAGTGGAGGCCGTAGTCTGGTAGTGCTGAACTCTTGATGGTCTCTCTTTTATGAAAAGGAATGTGTAAAACTCACAACTGCGACTTGCGAATGGGAGCTTTCACTCTTGGACTTAACCGTGTCGCTCGCGCTACACTTTTGAGAGGCTGGCAAGCTTAGAGAAACATGAACATCAATCACTACTAGCTATAAGCTGTAGTTGGAGTTTCTTAGTTTTTGCATCGTTATTTGTCTCTTCTATTCTTTTAATTCATTTGTTATCTAGTTTGAAATTGCATTGTTTTTTCTTATTAATTTGGTTGGACAAGTGATTATTAGTAACTTGATTATGTCATTTTTAGTAATGTAACTCTAGAATTACTTGTTATTGACTTTAAAAATTTGAATGTGATTAGTGTTGTATTGACTTATTCAAATTAGATTTTTATTTTTATATTATTATTAAATACATTAATTATATTATTTTAAATATGAATTAAACACAATTAATAATAAAAATTAAAAACATGAGAGAAAAATTACCTGCGAAATTAATTATATTATTTCAGTTTGCTGTGACTTTTCCTGCAAAAGTTAAAGTTACCTGCGGTATTACCTACGAATTTAGCTGTTTTACTTGCGATAATTACCTGCGACCTTTTACTGCGACTTTACCTGCTATGTTAATTACCCACATTTTAGCTGAAAACGAATAATCTCAGGAAAAATCGCAGGAAACCTGCGGTAATTTTGTCAACATCCGCAGGAAAACAGAGTAATTTTAGTAGTGGCAATCTCTAAACTCCTCTGTTGAAAATGCTCTAAGGATAACGATGGACAATTTTCTCTTATTATTCAATAAACGAAGTTATACTATTTTCTCTAATTATTCTTTCTCTCAAATCCGACATCAAACTAGGAAAGAAACCATTACTCACAACCATAAGCAATTATCTACAATGTATGATGAATCTTGTGTTCATGTTGTCATGTTCCCAAGCGCTGGAATGGGTCATCTCACACCATTTCTAAGACTAGCTTCCTTACTTCTCAACAACCATTGCAAACTCACTCTCATCACTCCTCTTCCCACCGTTTCTCATGCCGAATCACACCTCCTCTCTCACTTTCACTCTTCCTTCCCTCAACTCAACCTCCTCCCATTTCACCTTCCACCGCTATCTTCTCCTCCTCCCACCTCCGTCGACCCTTTTTTCCACCGAGTCCAAACCCTCTGTCACTCAACTCACCTTCTCCCTCCTTTAATCTCTTCACTCTCACCACCCATCTCTATTTTCATCTCTGATATCTTTCTTGTTACCCCTCTCGTTTCCATCACTCAAAAACTCTCTCTTCCTAACTACACTTTGTTCACTTCTTCAGCTGCCATGTTATCTTTCTTGTCTCACTTCCCTACTATTGCTCACTCAAAATCCGATGATGATGATGCTCCTGAGATTTCATTCCCAGTTCCAGGTCTTCCGTTTTCACCTTTACCATATTCATATATCCCACCGATTCTTTTCCAACCTACTGCCATTTTTAGAAACCAAATAATAGAAGATAGTCCTAACCTATCAAAATTACATGGTATTTTTGTCAACACATTTGTTGTTTTTGGATTTGAAATATTGGTACAAGGAAATTATCGGGACGAGTCGCGTACTAGGTCGCTTTCTTTAAGACGTTTCGCCGTACTGCCAAAATATGCAAAGCAGTCGATTTACGACGACGCCTCCAGGATAAAACAGCCCGTTCAAAATTACGATTATCAGTTGCACACTGATAAATCGCTCTAGAAATACACCTTTCTAAATTATCTGGCGAAAATAGCCAGTCCAGTATCTGGCTGTAATAGCCAGTCGAAAAAACCAAGAAAAGAAAATTGTTTAGATGAAGAGAATTAAGGGAGAGAGAGGGAAATCAAAATTCGTGTGAATTTGTGAAATCCGGAGTACTTACTACTGAATTTCTACCCTTTATTTATAGGCAGCTAGTAAGGCTTAATTTTCATTCCCGTCAATGTGGGACTAAAATGAATCTTAATTTCCATTCCCTTCAATGTTGGACTAAAATGAATCTTATTTTTCATTCCTTCAATGTGGGACTAAAATGAATCTTTTCAAATTCACTTATATATTACTTCTTACTTGTGTTGATTTATTGCCCATTAATTGTCAATAAATCTTTCCAATTCCCACTCTAATTAATATAGTTCCAACAATCCCCCACTTGAATTTAAAAAGAGATTTTAGAAGTACGTCAGACGTTTCTAAGATTGTGCATAAGCAAAGGTGTCTACGACTTGAACCTTAGCGTAGCGAGTAGGATTCTGATTCAACAAGAGTGACACCATTGTCTTGAACTCTATCTCGGACATCAGACCCGCACACAACCTTTCCGTAAGGTGTATTCTTGTAGCCCGTGCTTTAGTGGCCCTGCACGTGTATCCCGGTTTAGTGAATGCTCTAGGAATTCTGCCTCGAAATTCCATAGGAACCGGCCTCAGTTCCACAGTCACATAGGTGAATCTATCAAGAGTACTCCTGTAGCCTAGGTACTCCCTCATACAGAGAATAGATATCATTAAGAGTTTCTATTATCTCATCCTGTCATTACTTCAGGATTCATGCTTTACTTGCATGATCATTTTCATATTACTCACAACTTGTTATTACCCATTGAACCTAAGTCTTGGGATCTCCAGTCATTTAGGTCGGGTTACCATCATGAGTAACTAATTGCTTCATAGGCATTAGTCCCATCTTTTTGGATGTATTATGGACTTTCTCTCTAGCTAATCCTTTCGTCAAAGGATCTGCTAAGTTCTCATCAGTGCGTACATGATCCACTCTCACAGCTCCTTTAGATATACAATCTCTAACAGTGCTATGTTTTCTTCTAATTTGACGTCTTTTACCATTATAGTAACGGTTCTCAACTTTTGCAATAGCCGCGGTACTATCGCAGTGGATCAACACAGCTGGTATAGGTTTTTCCCATAAAGGGATCTCAGCTAGCAAGCATCTTAACCAACTTGCTTCTTCACTAGCTGTGGCTAATGCTATCATCTCAGACTCCATTGTGGACTGTGCCAGAATGGTCTGTTTCTTTGATTTCCAAGATACAGCTCCTCCGGCTATACTAAATATATAACCACTAGTAGCTTTGGAGTCATCCGATAAGGTGTTCCAATCTGCATCACTATACCCTTCTAGTACAGCAGGAAATTTCTGATAGTGTAGGCCGAGGTCCATAGTCCTTTTAAGGTACCTCATTACTCGCTCAATAGCTTGCCAATGTTCGTTACTCGGCCTTCTTGTAAATCTGCACAACAATCCTACGACATATGCAATGTCGAGTCTAGTACAATCAGTGGCATACCTAAGACTGCCAATGATGCTCGCATATTCTGCTTGTTTGACACTTTCTCCAGTGTTCTTAAACAGTTTCACACTTGGATCATAAAGAGTGCATGCAGGTTTACAATCAAAGTATTTATATTTCTTTAAGATCTTCTCCATATAGTGAGATTGATCCAAAGAAATTCCTTGGTTGGATCTCGTGATCTTGATACCCAAGATCACGCTTGCTTCTCCGAGGTCTTTCATATCAAAGTTATTGTATAACAATGATTTCATATCATTAATGGCCTGAATGTTTGATCCAAATATAAGTAGATCGTCTACATATAGACATATGATAGTACAAATGCGATTCTCAGATTTGTAATAGACGCACTTGTCACTTTCATTCACTTTGTACCCATTAATTATCATTAAGTTATCAAACTTTTCATGCCATTGTTTAGGGGCTTGTTTTAGTCCATACAGAGACTTATCTAACTTACAGACCTTGCTTTCTTGTCCTTGGATTACAAATCCTTCTGGTTGTTCCATATAGATTTCTTCTTCTAAGTCACCGTTTAAAAAAGCTGTTTTAACATCCATTTGGTGTACTATTAAGTTATAAATGGATGCTATTGAAATGAGTACCCTAATGGATGTAATTCTAGTGACTGGAGAAAAGGTGTCGAAGAAATCTATATTTTCTCTTTGTCTAAAACCCTTGGCTACAAGGCGTGCCTTGTATTTCTCAATCGTTCCATCAGGTTTTAGTTTCTTTTTCAAAATCCATTTACAACCAATTGGTTTGCAACCCGGAGGTAAGTTTACTAAGTGCCAGGTCTTGTTAGATTCTAGAGAATCTATCTCATCATTAATGGCTTCTTGCCATAAGTCAGCATCCATAGATGACAGTGCTTCTTGAGGATTTATTAGATCTTCTTCTACATTATAGGCCGCATAATCGGGCCCATAGTCTTTAGCAACTCTTGCTCTTTTACTTCTTCGAAGCTCTGTTTCTACATTGTCGCTGCTTTCAGTGCTTTTTATCACAGGAATGTGACTCGATTGTGTGCCCCCACTATTTCTCGATTTGAAGGGAAATTTGTCTTCAAAGAATTCAACATCGTTTGATTCTATGATTACTCTGGCATTTAGGTCATAAGACCTGTATGCCTTACTGTTTGCTGCATACCCAATGAATACGCATTCATAGGCTCTACTAGCGAGTTTAACTCGTTTCGGATCCGGAATTCTGACATAAGCCAGGCAGCCCCAAGTTCTCAAATAAGACAAATTTGGTTGTCTTTTCTTTAATATCTCATAAGGTGAGATCTTACTTTTCGACTTGGGAACTTTATTCAGGACATAGCAAACAGTCAATAAAATTTCCCCCCACCAGTGAGGTGCAGCACCAGAATTTAACATGATTGCAACTACAAGTTCAGTAAGAGTCCTATTCTTTCTTTCTGCTTTACCATTCATTTCAGGAGAGTATGGAGCAGTCGTTTCATGTATAATACCATGTTCAGCATAAAAATCATTAAACAAGCTAGAGTCATATTCGGTTCCCCTATCACTGCGAAGTCTCTTAATCTTCTTGTTAAATTGATTCTCAATTTCAGTTACATACACCTTAAATATGTCAAGCGCTTCACTTTTATTCTTCATTAGATATACATAAGTATAATCAGAGCAATCGTCAATAAAAGTGATAAAATAACGTTTATTATTTCTAGTTAAACTTCCATCTAATTCACATATATCAGAGTGTATAAGATCTAGGGGATCAGATTCTTTTATTATTGATTTATGTGAAGTCTTTGTTATTTTAGCTTGACTGCAAAATTCACATTTATTGGAATCATTAATATTTAGTTTAGGGATTAGGCCTATGTTGCTTGCATTAGAAATGATTCATTTATTAACGTGACAAAGTCTACCATGCCAAATATTAAAATCACACAAAAGGTAAACAGAAGGAGAAGTTTTATTTTTGAAATCTTTCCAACCAGGGGGCAGTTTGTCAATAATTACAGCAATTTGAAATTGTTCATTAAGGGGCATACCTTCTGTAATAATCTCATGAGCAATCTTCTGAATTTTGTGGCTTTGAGTTTCCACCGACTTCTCATCCACCATCTTGTAGTTCAAGTAGCGGCTGACAGCAAATTTCTTCGCACCTGCTTCTTCAGTATCATATTTCCTTTTCAGAGCCTCCCATACCTGTTTAGCAGTTCTGTAGCTACTGTAGTAGTCGTACAGATCATCAGCAAGGCTGTTCAGAATGTGATTTTTGCACAGATAATCATTCTCGTGCCATAAGGTGATTTCTTTTCGGAGCTGCAGATCATCTGCTGCAGCCTTAACTTTTGCAGCATCTGAGTCAGACATTTTGGAAGTCCCGTCTGAATCTGCAAGTGAGTTACCGTTAGGTAGTTCAGATGATGCAGAAGGGACAACCGGGATATCCTCAGTCAGAACGTGGGCAACCTTTTTCAGAGTTAAGAAAAATTTCATCTTAGCTTGCCAACGTTTGAAATTGGAACCCTCAAACCTGAAAGGTTTGTCAGAGACCAAAGCGGCCGCAGTAGTACCGATAATTTCCTCAGTTGCCATGGCAGTTATGAAACACGTCTTAAAATTGTTGTTTTCGGATTTGAAATATTGGCACAAGGAAATTATCGGGACGAGTCGCGTACTAGGTCGCTTTCTTTAAGACGTTTCGCCGTACTGCCAAAATATGCAAAGCAGTCGATTTACGACGACGCCTCCAGGATAAAACAGCCCGTTCAAAATTACGATTATCAGTTGCACACTGATAAATCGCTCTAGAAATACACATTTCTAAATTATCTGGCGAAAATAGCCAGTCCAGTATCTGGCTGTAATAGCCAGTCGAAAAAACCAAGAAAAGAAAATTGTTTAGATGAAGAGAATTAAGGGAGAGAGAGGGAAATCAAAATTCGTGTGAATTTGTGAAATCCGGAGTACTTACTACTGAATTTCTACCCTTTATTTATAGGCAGCTAGTAAGGCTTAATTTTCATTCCCGTCAATGTGGGACTAAAATGAATCTTAATTTCCATTCCCTTCAATGTTGGACTAAAATGAATCTTATTTTTCATTCCTTCAATGTGGGACTAAAATGAATCTTTTCAAATTCACTTATATATTACTTCTTACTTGTGTTGATTTATTGCCCATTAATTGTCAATAAATCTTTCCAATTCCCACTCTAATTAATATAGTTCCAACAACATTTGAATCACTTGAATCTCACTCACTAAAAGCTCTTAATGATGGAAAAGTTATCGAAAATACGCCTCCTGTCTATGTTGTTGGTCCTTTTCTTCCTTTTGAGTTTGACAAGAAAAATACATTAACACCGTTGACTTGTTGGCTAGATGATCAACCTATTGGGTCTGTTGTTTATGTTTGTTTTGGAAGCAGAA